AAAATTTAAAAAGTCAAAAAATCACTATCCTATTTAAGTCACATTATCTTATTTAAGTCACATCATCTCTTTATCACATCATTTCAAACCCAACCCATACTCAACTCATATTTCATAAAAAGTCAAAAAATACACTTATTTAGGACACCCCAAACAACCCCTAAATATCTAATGGACTATAAGATACGAATAAGTCTCGGCAATAGACCATGGACTTTGACCGGTCCACAAGGTATGCTCGGACCAACCCATTCTATATTTCTAAGGATTCGTTTGGCATTAGTTAATATAGCCAATTTTTTTGTGTTTGAACTTTTTTAACCTGACTTTTTTAGCCTTGTTGGGTTTTTGTTTTTGAACTTTTTTGACTTTTGTGAGAAAAAAAAATATAATGATTATGAGTAAAAAATAATATTTTGTCTTATTAACTTTTGTAGTTAATTTTATCAAACCAAACCAACAAAGCCCAAAAAAAAAAAAAAAAAAAAAAAAAACAACAAAGCCCAAAAAAAAGAAGAAAAAAAAAAAAAAAACTCTGCCTATGCAGTTTGATAAGGTGAGTGAGTTGAGTTAGACTTTATCAAATCATACAAGATGAATTAGTACGAGATATCTAATACACATAACCACCCTTGCAAAAAAAGAAAGAAAAAAAAAAACTAAATTTCGAGGCCAATCATTCTGCAAGCTTCTACCTTATTCCATTTGTTTCAACATAAAATCTACAACTTTGGAACAATTTGGAAACTTGGTAAAAAGTCAATTTTTTAACTTTTTATTAAGTTTTCCTAAAAGGTCACAAAAAAGTCATAAAAAAGTCAATTTTTTTGCCAAAAAAGTCACAAAAAAAAGTTAAAAAGTTAATTTTTTATCAACTTTTCAAAACATCCATTTTTTATTTTCTCATCTTAAATCAAAATGATAGTAAATGTAATATCAAAAATGCTTCCGACCCCCAGTTTGTTCCGACCCCCAGTGACCCCCAGTTTACGTGGCAAACTCACGTGATGTTCACGTATATAGATGATGAAAACTAATCTGTGCTCCATCAATGCAATGTGTATAGGTCTGTTTAGTGTCATCGGCTATACTGACTAAAGCTGGGGTTGTTAAAACTGTGCTTCATCCTGGTGGAACTATGTGTTGTTCAATATATGACTTACTGGCTCCGGTATCTATCATGGCATATATACTAAGGGTTTTTTCTACAAATTTAATTACACAAGAGATCTCAACTAAATTTGACTTGGGTATAACAGGATAATTAAATGGTAAATATGTACTATCTGACTGTGCTTGAAAGTATTAATTAAAGGGTTGAGAATCAACTAAGTTAACTAATTCTAAAGAATTCATATATTCTTTAACAAGTTTATCTTTTAAAGAGTATTTGTTGTGAAATTGTTCTAACTGTTGTTTAAGCTGTCTATTTTCTAGTTCTAAACATTCTATGTCAAAACTAGTCTTAGTTTCTATTTCTCGTATTTGTAATTTGAGTTCTCTTATTTGTACTTCTAGTTCTCTAATTGTTAAATGTAATTCTCTGCTTTCTATACTATGATCCTCTCTGTTATTTTATAATGTTATCTTATGGGTCATGTTTAATTTTTCTAGACAAACTACACAATAGGTTATACTGCATAACAAACATTGAACTCGCTTATCTTTAGTTGGAAACCAATTACAATAGCTGCATCAAGTGGTATCAAATCCTAGTCCTATTTGAAAATTATGCTGACATTTAGTATTTGTATTGCATTCCATCATAAAGAAAGTATCATGAGAAGGAGTCGTTCCTATTTCTTGGTTGAGTTGTCCTAGAAGATTATCTACATCTGTATCACTCTCTGAATCACTATCGGAACTTATGACTTCTATTTGATATTCATAATCACTAATTATGCTATAGACTTCTGAATTGTCGCTATTTATGCTAACTATATCTTCTTCTAAGTCTTCTATAATATTTGGTCTTTCTATTTGTTTATTAGTATTAGGCCTTTGTCTTTTTGGGCAGTTTTTTGCAAAATGATTGGGTTCTTTACATATAAAACAATTACATTTTTTACTGTTGGGTTTTCTAACATATCTTTGTTTTCTTTTATCTCTTTCTTCTTTGGGTAGCTGTTTATAATTATTCTATTAAAAGTTCTACTCTTTCTAATGAATTTCTGTTTTTTCCATGGTTTTTTATATTTTTTCTTCCAATATTTTTCTTTTCTATATTTTCCATATTTTTTGTATTTTTTCCTATTATATTTATCTTCATATTGCTGAGGAGTATATATTATATTGCTACAAAAACCATAATTTTATTTTTTCAAATCTTTCTGTATTTTAACCTCTATGCATTTTCTCTCTGAGCTTGAAAAACGTATAAACTATTCTAGGTCCTATTCCTAAAGTTCCTCTTATTTTTACTTCTCCTGAGGCTACTTTAGCTGGTAAACTTGCATAATAAACTGACCATTTATTTTCTATCTCTCTTCCTACTTCTCCGGGTAATTTTCTAAAATATTTATTTCCTATTTATTCATCAAAACTTTTTCCAGTTCTAGCTGTTATGGCTAAGTATTCTTTACTAAATGGTAAAATATATTTCCAACTTCCTAACGTTATCTAATCTAACTCAGTTAATGCTATGCTTTGAGCGGAATCATTTCTTCTAGAAAGGTTATAACCTATAACTATTTCTTTTATAAAACTAGTAAAATTCCATGGGTTATCTCCCAATTCTTTAAACTGTTTAATTGTTTCTTCATATTTTCCTTTAAAAGTTAAATAATTATTATAAGCTGAATCTCCTAAAAGTGTCTCTATATATTCCCACATATCTGTTGATTCAAAGGGATTACTCATCCATGCCTTTACCGCATCTTTTCCCCATTTTTCTATCACTTCTTGCCATATCTGAGGGTCGAATCTAGCTAAATCTAAAAAGGTTCCTTGATTATTAACTGGCTGTAATTGTATACTCATATTTGGTTGTCTACGTTTTCCGTGAAATCTATAGTTTTTATTTGGATTTGCTTTACTGCGTCCGGAACTAGCTAATGGTCTTATTCCTCCTACTGCATAATGCATTGGTTCTACGGGATCTTCTACAGTTGGTTGTGAGTTACTAGTTCCTGTACTTTATGTATTCATGTAAAAAGTATCTTCTAAGTTGGATTATTTTGGTATTCTAAGGTGTCGTTTGGTAACACTTACGTTTTCAGTTTTCTATTTATATTTACAAAAATTTTAAAAACTCAAATAAAAACTTGTTTGGTAAAATTTTTAATTTATAAATCAGTGGTCTCAGTTTATAAATTTAGCCAAAAAATGAAAACACAAAAAATGTGTTTCATTCATGTGTTTGTAGGTGAGCCAAGAGAAGTCCAAACCCAGCCCCAGTGAAGTCTGTGAGGAACAACAAAAGTTTTGAAGAGTCTGCCCTTGCGTCTCACGTACGAGACCCACCTTTGCCTTTTTGTCATTTTGTTATATTTTGTCACATGGGCGAAGTCTTTGAATTTGTTG